ATATATAATGTAGAAAAGGGAAGAGAGGAAAAGGAGAAGCCTGATCAAATGAGTAGAACTAAAGTGAGAGGAAGGTATTGAACCCTGCATCTCCCTGCATCTTCACAGGCTCTTACTTCAGAGCTGGCCAATGCCCGTGATGAATCCAAGAAGACCACCAATGACATGATACATGCTGAAAACATGCGACTGGGCCGAGATAAATACAAGACTCTGCGTCAGATCCGGCAGGGCAACACCAAGCAGCGCATTGATGAGTTTGAGTCCATGTAATCATGTAATAGACACCAAGCCTCTAGGAATCCCTTCTTTATTCTTCCTTATACTTCCCATACCTTTGTCTAACTCACACTGTGCTGGAGCCACTAACTACATTCATGCCAAGCATTCAGTGCAGCCATGGGACCAAACCTACCCCCTCAGCACTGCTAAATTAATTGCCTGGGAAGACAAATGGCCCACTGTGGTGCCAGTGAGAACCCCCTTTCCCCTCTTTAACCTGTTCAATCTAGTTTGCTAGAATAGACCACTTCCCAAGCTCAGAGACACTTTCTACTTGATTAGGCAAAAACCCCTACACTTAACTGTTGCTCGATGAGGTTTAAGTGTAGAGTAGGTTAAAAACTATGCCCACTACTGTATACCACCATTGCCTTCCTCTTCCAGGTCATGTGATTTTCAGGAGTGAGATATATTACAGGGTTTAAAAAAAGAAGCAGGGCCCTGACATTGTCATCTGACATAGATTTGGTCTCCTAGAGCCAATCCCTTTTAGATACTTTGTAATGCTTGGAGAACAAAGATATTCAGTCATTGTTTCTACCTCGCAGATTTGGCCTATTACAAACTCAATTCCAATAAGCCTTTTCTCTGAGTTCAGGGACTCAGTTTCTCCCTACAGTAGAATGGGGAGACAGTGCCTTCAAGAGGCTTCACATCCTGTAAGGTCATTGGCCCTTTTATTCAGGCAAGAATGGGTAATGCCTACTCCAGTGCCTTATGGGAACCTAAACTTCAATCCAGTGAACTCTTTGGGCAGTGGTACCTCATATTATTCCAGGTCCCTAGTTCCTCTCTGGATCTGCCTCTGCCCCTTCCAATCCCTAAATCACCTCCAGCTAGAACAAACAGTAGGGACGAGTACCCAAAAGCTGAGCCAGCCCTATATACAGCTCTTGCCAAAAGGAGGAAATGTTCATACCTTGTGTCAGTATTTTTCCTACTATTCTAGGACACTTCCCCCATCAGAACTACTTGGGCCATAGCTCCTGCTTCACAGCTATCTGGGCCTTACTATGGTGAGCACTAGATCTTGACGCCAGTAGGCTCAATTAGGGTGTGAACAGAAGAGGCTACTTATGGTAAAGAAGCCCATGCCTCTGATCCTACAGTTTACTTCTCTCAGGTGCCCGGTAGTTCATTCCTGTCACCCCTGCCTGGGCCCTGCTTCTCACAAACCTCTAACCCAGGTCTTGTCAATAACTGTGCTTTCCCATGGCCTACATACCATAGAGCTGCTGGGGATTCTGGCCTGGTCCCTTCTGCACCCCCATGCTTTGCCCTCAACCCAGGAATATCTTCTTCCTCTCTGTCTCATGTATGCTTTTTTCCTTTGTACCAGTATTATATATTCTAGTGATATCTAACTCAATATTAATTTTTTTACCTTTCTTGCTAATGCACAGTTAGAAAATATTAGTCTTGGGGTAGAATCATTCTGGCCTCCTGTCCTTTACCACCCCCACACCTGGGAAGCATATACTATATTATAAAAGGATATTTTGCCAGAAATTTAATGTAAGAAGCTTCAGTATTAGTGATGTTACCTGTCACTATAGGTCATACAATTCATTTTGAAAGGAATTGGCATTTAGTTTTAATGTGTCTATTTGCCTTCTCCCCAGGATTCATTCCCTAAGGGGATGTCCTGTGCCTCTGTGCAGTGCCCGTAGCCCAGTGCCTCCTTGGATACCCCCCCACCTGACCTTGGGGAGTGTTCTGTGTATTGCTGTGAATTATTTTGACACTCATTTATGCCCTGTATTAGATAAATTAAAACCAAGAATTGGGAAATTTAAACTGCTTTAAGGCTGGGGAGAAAGGTTAGATTTTATATTCATGTCTTTGTGCATTCTTGGGTTTTTAAAAAATTGTTTTTGGAGGGGATTTTGCTCAACTCATGTTCTATTTCAGTGCCAATAAAATTTAGAAAGACTTCGCTGTGACTCAGTCTTTCTTTGTGTTATGGGTGGGTGGCCGTAAGATATTTCGCCATAATTTCCACTTTATAGACCACCTTTCTGGCCTTCCTCTCATTTCATCCTCACTTAAATTCAATGGAAAGGAGGTGCATGACTATCCCTATCTTAACAGAGAATAAACCATAAAAAGCAATGTTAACTCTCAACATCATAGCACTACCTGCATTAATAGACTGTCCTTTCTGCAGCTCTAAGCCAACTTTTCTAGTGTAATTATAGACTGCATTGGTCATATGATGCTCATAGAATTACTTGGCATTGAGACCTCAGGGATACTTACTTTTGTGTCTGAACTCCTCCTGTAGTCTCAAGACGTGTCTTGTCTCCTTGTTGGGAAAGCTTTATAGGTTTGTCTTACCTATTACGAACGTAACTTATTATAGTGCCAGTATCTGTCAGGGAAACTGTCCTGGGTAATGTTACAGAAGACAGTGGGGAAATGGACTTTGATGTGAGGATGAAAAGTATATGTGTGTACAAAAGCTATTGGGCCATACTTAAGTTTTTTAAAAAATTAATTTCATTGGTACATTTTAGATATATACAATGATCACATTCATCATAGGCAATTTGTATTTGTATATGATATATCTTGATTTTTCCCTATTCCCCTCCCCTCTCTAACCCGCTTGCCCCTCTTTATTTACAAAAGCTTTGTTTCCATTTTCTCCTGATTTTGTATTTTTTTTTCTTTTGTCTGCCTTCCTTTCCTTCTCTCCCCTCCCTAGCTCCCCTGCCCATTTGAACATTTTCTTCCTATTCCACAATATCTATTATACATTTTGGTCCTCATTTACACTTTCAGTTTCTCACACCAGAAAACAATGTGGTATTTACACATGTTACCAATTTATTTCACTTAAGAGTATGGTCTCAAGGTGCATCCATTTAACTAGAAATGTCTGAAGTTTATCCTTCATTATGGCGGAATGTACAGCCATTTTTACAAAAACCAGATCTTTATCCATTTATCCATTGATACCTATTTGGGCTGTTTCCAAGAGTTAGCCAGTGTTGTTATAAACATCGGTATGCAGTGTGATGCTTTTAATTCTTTTAGGAAGATACCAAGAAGGGAAATAGCTGGGTCAAATGGAACCTCTAACTTTAGTTTTTTGGAGAATCTCCACACATTTCCTAGTGGTTGTGCCAGTGTACCCTCCCACCAGCGGTGGAGAAAGGGTTCCTTTTCCTTACAGCCCCGCTAGCATTTGTAATTCCTTGATTTCTTGACATTAGGTATCTTTCTGTAGTGAGATGGAATCTCAGCATTGTTTTAATTTATATCACTCAAATGACCAGTGATGCTGAACATTTTTTATATCCTTACTTGCCATTTGTACTTATCTGAAAAGTGTCTTCAGATACCTAGTTTTGGACTGGGTCTTTAATTTTGGGGTTCTGATTTTCTTGAGTTCTTTATATATTCCAGATATTAGTCCTTTGTTGTGGAACAGCTGGCAAAAGTTGTTTCTCACTCGGTGAGTTCTCTCCACACTGTTGATGATTTCTTTTGCAGTGCAAAAGCTTTTTAACAAGAAGAGGTCACAGTTGATTCTTTTTAGTATTTCCTATACAGTAGGGGTTTTGTTCATTAAGTCTTTGTCTATACCTATGTTTTTGAGCGTTCTGCATATTCATTCCATCAGATTTAATATTTCTGTTTTAAGATTTAGATCTTTGATCTATTTCAGTTTTACTTTAGTGCATGGTGAGAGTCATGGAGTTAATTTTAATCTTTGGCATATGGAAAGCCATTTTTTTCCAGACCGTTTTTTAAAGAGGCTATCTTTCTTCCAGTGAAGGTGTTTGGCTCCTTTGTAAAAGATAAGGTGGTTGAGTTTGTTTGGACTTGTTTGTACCTTCTAGTCTGTTCCATTGATTTCCATGTCTGTTTTGTCATTTATTTTTTGATTTTTTTGCCAGTACCATGCTGTTTTTATCACACTAGCTTGATAATATAATTTCAAGTCAGAGATTGTGATAACCCCTTGCCTTGTCTTTGTTGCCCAGAATTGTTTTTGCTATTCTAGATCTCTTCTGGTTCCAAATGAACTTTATGATTTTCTGTAATTCTGCGAGGTATGCTATTGATATTTTGATTGGAATTGTATTGAATTAATATACAAATTTTGGCAGCATGGCCATTTTCACTTATATTGATTCTACCCAAGAGTAAGGGATATCTTTCCATTTTATCATATCCTCTTTGATCTCCTTTTTTCAGAATACCATAGTTTTCAATGTAAAAATCTTTAATGTTTTTGTTAGATTGATTCCTAAGCATTTTTTTTCAATTGTGAAAGGTATGGTTTCCTTAATTTCTCTCTTAGTGAGTTTGTTATTTGTGTACAGGAATGCTACTGATTTTCGAGTGTTTACTTTGTATCCAGGTATGTTACTGAATTTAGTTACTGAATGTAGAAGTCTTTTGGTGGAGTTTTGGTGGTCTACAAAGAGTATCATATTATCTGCAAATAATATTTAAGTTCTTCATTTCCTATTTTGTTCCTTTTCTTTCTCTTGTCTAATTGCTATGGCTAATGTTTCCAGAACTATATTGAATAAGAATGGTGAAAATGGACATTCTTGTCTTGTGATTTTAGAGGGATAGATTTATTTTTGACCCTTTAGTGTGATGTTGGCTCTCAGTTTGTCATAGATGGCTTTTATCAGATTGAGATAAAGACCATCTATTCCCATATTCTATAGATATTTTATCATGAATGGGTGTTGGATTTTGTCAAATGCTTTTTCTGCATCTATTGAGATGATCATGTGATTTTTGTCCTTGGCTCTGTTGATATGGTACATTACATTTATTAATTTGCATACATTGAACCATCCCTACATCCCTGGGATGAGTTTTTCTTGGTTATAGTATATAACCTTCTTTCTGACTTACTGCATCCTATTTGACAGTATCTTTTTTTTTATTAATTAAGTTTATTGGTACATTTAAGGTATACAGTACAATTACATTCATTATTGGGATCTTGTACCTTTACATGGCAGGTCTTGGTTCTCATTTTTTTCCCCCTTGTCCATGCCCAACCTTCAAACCCTCCTCCCCTCCCCATTTAAAAACACTTTATTTCCCTTTTTTCATTTTGTCATATTTTTTTCTTTTCCCTTATTACCTTTCCCCTACCCTTCCCATTTTCCCTACACCTTTAGCCCTTTTCTTCCTATTTCACATGGTCAATTCTCTCATTAGGATCTTATGTACTATTATAGTTTTTCACACCACATAAACTATTTGGTATTTATACATGTGTGACTTATTTATTTCACTTAGGATTATATCCTCAATATGTATCCATTTTCCTATGAATGAATCTAATTTCTCATTCTTTATGGCTGAGTAGTATTCCATTTTATAGAAAAACCACATATTCTTTATCCAGTCTCCAACTGATGGGCAAATGGGCTGTTTCCAAGTTTTAGCTATTACCAACTCTGCCACTGTAAACATAGGTGCACATATATCACTGTGATATGATTCTTTTAATTCTTTTGGAAAGGTACCCAGCAGAGGGATGGCTGGGTCAAATGGAACTTCTAATCCAAGATCTTTGAGGTATCTACATATCGATTTCCACAGTGGTTGCACCAGTCTGCATTTCAACAATGGAGAAGGGTTCCTTTCTCCCAACAACTCCACCTGCATTTGTTATTGTGTGATTTCTTGATAGCAGCCATTCTTTGTGGGGTGAGGTGGAATCTCAGTGTTGTTTTCATCTGCATCTCTCGAATGACCAGTGATGCGGAACATTTTTTCATATATTTCCTTGATGCTTTCACTTCTTTGTCTGAGAAATGTTTCTTCATTTCAGAAGCCCATTTTTGAATCAGGTCTTTATATTTGGGGGGGATGATTTTTTGAGTTCTTTAGATATTCTAGGTAAGAGTCCTTTGTCTGAGGAGCAGCTGGTAAAAAGTTTTTCTCAAATTGTAAGTTGTCTTTTGGTTCTGTTGATGGTTTCTTTTGCAGTGCAGAAGCTTTTTAATAAGGTGAGATCCCAGTTTTTGATTCTTTCTGCTAGTTCTCATGATACTGAGCATTTGTTCAGAAAGTCTTTTCCTATGCCAGTGTCTTCAAGAGTTCTGCCTAACATCTTCCAGCAAATTTAGTGACTCTTTTTTAATATTTAGATCTTTAATCCACTTGGATTTTAGTTTAGTGCATGGTAAAAGATAAGGGCCTACTTTTAATGTTTGGCAGGTTGAAATCCAGTTTTTCCAACACCATTTATTAAAGAGGCTATCTTTCCTCCAGTGAGGATGGTTGGCTCCTTTTTCAAAGATGAGGTAGCTAAGTACATCTGGAGTTGCTTTTGTATCTTCCAATCTATTCCACTGGTCCTCAGGTCTGTTTCTTTGCCAGTACCATGCTGCTTTTATCACAGTGGTTTTGTAGTATAGTTTCAAATTAGGAATTGTTATACCCACTGCTATGTCTGTGTTGCCTAGTATGGCTTTTGCTTTTCTAGGTCTCTTCTGGTTCCAAATGAATTTTTGGATTATTTTTTCTAGTTCTGTGAAATGTAGTGTTGGGATTTCAATCGGCATTGCATTGAATCTGTATAGCAATTTTGGTAGTATGGCCATTTTCACTATGTTGATTCTTCCTACCCTGGAGCAGGGGATGTCTTTCCATTTTCTTATATCCTCTTGGATCTCTTCAGAGTGCTGTAGTTTTCAGTGTAGATGTCTTTTGCTTTTTTCATTATATTGATTCCTAGATAATTCATATTTTTGGATTGCTATTGTGAAAGGAATTGTTTCCCTAATTTCTTTCTCAGTGAGTCTGTTATTTGTGTACAAGAAGGCTATTGATGGAATTTTGGGGGTCTTCAATGTAGAGTATCATATCAGCAAATAATGACACTTAAAATTTTTCCTTTGCTGTATTTATTGCTTTAATTTCTTTCTCTTGTCTAATTGCT